TGCCTTCCATTTTTTTTCTCTCTTTTTTCCTGTGAATCCTTTCGCTGCGGCACGATGCAGTTTTCGTTTCGTCTCCCGGTGTCGCGTCGATGTCGCGCGGCATTCTTTTTTTCTACAATACGCGATATTCCGATACGAGAGGCGATCGTTCTGCGGCGAAAGGATCGGACCCTGGATCGAGCTCCCCTCGGAATTTCGGAACGGAAAGCAGCCTGCGAACCTCGAGACGCTCTCCGTGCGAGCGAGTTGTGTAAATAATGAAACTCGATGAAAATGCGCACGCACGAGTGTCAGCCAGCTTTGCCAAGTCAGCTCTTTCGGCCGCGATGCGATTAAATTACTTATTTGTTGAACACGAGCGATCGAATTTCGCGCAAACAAATTTCGAATCGGCGATTTATCACCTCTGACGTTGAAACGGGCGTTATTTCAGACACGCGTGCGCGCACCGTTGCAGATTTATTTCATTTTACTGCGCGAACAGCTTCGAGGACTGACGAACTACGAGCTTCGGGTGGATCTGTCATTGAGGTGGTCTAATAGAAATTTTAGTTCCAATAGAATCTAACAAAAATATTGATAATGTAGAAATCGTACCAAATTCAACGAACGGATATGAATTTCGGCGAACCTACTGAGAAAGTGTTAACCGTCTTCACTTCGAGAAAAATCCGAATTCCGACGCACCTTTTGCGAAGCTTGAACTCAACGAGGGGCGAGAGGGGTGAACGTGTCGATTCAAGGAAGCCGTGAAAGGCGTGCAGCTTCCGGCGAACGCGTTAATCCGCGTTACCGTGTTAAGCACACTTCGTGACAGTCGAGTTAACCGGTGCCGGGTCCCGGATAATGCAACTTTAATTTCTGCGGCGTTCGCCGGTTACACGGAGTTAATCATCGCCGGTGGATGATAGTCGCTGTTGACGCGGAAACGAAAACAACTGTAACTCGATTCACGCCACCAACGTTACGTACTTGTTGCTGTGGCTTTCTCTACGATCGATTAGCAGTGCCGGAAAGTCATCGATGCTCGGACGCTACTGATCACCAACGATTGGAGAATTGTCGAGGAATTTTCGCACAATGCTGAACGGTTGGATTAAATTAGCGAAGACGGTCGTTGGACATCATCGAGAAATGGTTTTAAATAGTTGAAGTAATTGTATCTATGCCAAAATAGAAGGAACTGGTGAAAATTTATTACTAAAACTGTTCTATTGGGATGCTATAGTTGATAGAAAAATTGATTTTGACGTGTCAATTAATTTGATGTAATTGATGTAACAAGTTTATCGAAATTGATGGAATAGACGTGCGAGAACGTGCCACCGTAAAACCGGTAATGATATCTACCAAAGGGAGTGTCAACTAGTTTAATATAATACGTGTGCAAATTTTTTCTTAGAACATTCGAAATGAGAGTAATTTTAACGCAGGTGACCTTCTGCGGAAGATTAACAGAAATCTGAATTAGTGTAATATGACGTAGGAAACCATTTCACACCAGTCTCCGAAGAAGCAAACAAAATTGGTACACGAATTTGTTTCTATGAGAGAAATGATCAAGATTAAATGTAAACACATTTTATGCCAAAATATTGCAAATTTAAAATCTACTAATAAAAACTTGTCTTCGTGAAGAAAGTATCGCAGACACTGTCATCGATGGATTTTGAAGAAAAAAATTTTCTCCGGAAATGGTCGAAAATTTTCGGAAAATGACGCACTTCACAAAGACGAAGAAGATGTTTGCGTTCACGAAAATTCGTTACAGCCGCCCACGAAAATACTACGCGGTTGTCTGCTTGTCAGCGTGAGCTATACGATCATCCGATATAACGCGGGGATTAGTTTGTCAACGCGGGCCGGCGTGCGCGTACACGCGCTTGCATCGCCATCGCCAATGCATCTTCGGAGCATTGTTGCTCGGGTTTCGCAACGAACGTCTTAGAATTACGAAAATTTCTACTCCTCGCGGGCCTTGTCGAAATATATCTCGTCTGACTCAGAAACAATGCGAAAGACAATGACAGTCGAGAAGAACGACACCTTCGGCTTAGAATATCCAAAACCTTAGGTAGAGAGAATTATTATTTGGCAGAGCGCAACCGGATAACCGGGGAGAATGTTGTTAGTAACTATGATCTATAAATCTGTTATAAAATATGAATGTTTCTTGTGTTTCAATTTCACATTAGCAGTGGAATATTCATTAATATACAGTCACTTTTACTATTCGAATGTAAATGTTACTCCGGGGCAAAGTAATATAAAATAGCTCAGACAAATTATTTACTTTACTAAATAAAATTTCTTAACGATCTACGAACCTTCCCAATGTTTTCCACAAATATCGAAGAATCTCAACGAACTCACATCACTTAGGCCGGTGTCCTACCTGTGCAAGCATTATGCCTAATGGGCACAAACATCGACCTCTAAATGTCACAAAGCGCGGGAAAATGTTCGTGAACACGTCAGAATCACAAAGGCCTCGAAGAACACCAACGAAACTCTCCGACCAAAATCAACACGAAAAAGTCGGCGTCAGAATAATTCACATCCCTTCGGTTTATCCGATGGCTTTAAGAACCTCACAAATTGGTTGTCCTCTCAGACGATCATGTTCCATTAGATGCGAATATCGGAGAACCGTACGGTTCGTGTGTTCGAAGAAACGCTGGGCGATGATAAGTCGTTGAACGATTAAAAGAGAGCTGGGGACCAGGGAAGAAACGTCGAGGGTCCGTCGAAACGACGCGGTACCAACGGTGACGGCCTTACTCGTGGAATTTCGCTGGTCACAGCACCGGGACTCGCTTTCTTCAAGCGGTCGCACGCTACTCAATATACCGGTCGACGATAAACGCCACCCCTCCGTGCCCCCCGGCCTCGCGACCCCCTTCGGGAAGCAACGCGACGCTGTTCGAGGGCGATTGTAACAATATCTTCCGGCGAACGAAGGATGCGCAGCGCTCTAAGTTCAAGAGCCGTGTTCAGGGACATCACGCGCGGGCCGGATTCTTTTTTTTCTCTCGCTGGATAAGATAATCACGACATGCAGGGTTGCTGCACGCGACACGGGGGTTCTGGGATCGCGCCGGAGCAGAGGCGAACACTTCGAAGGCGGTCTTAAAGAATTTCTGGATTCTTGTAGTAATTCGAGGGTAGTTTTTCGTCGCAACGTTGCAACAAGATGAGAGCCAGTTGCTTCTGGATCACTGACAATTGCTTATTGTCATTTTCATTGAAGACTAACGATAAGGAATAAAATTTTGAGATAGATTTTGTGGATTATCGGGGTTGTTTCTTCTGATGATATTATATGACACTTTGATAAGAAAACGAAACTGTTGCGCGGATCACTGATAATTGCTTTTCGTTTGTGTTTAACGAAGGAGTTTCGGGATGACGCTTCTCGATGATGATGTTTGTCAGTTGCAGAAGGTAATTTGTTCTGATGATGTAACAGCATCTCAATCGGCGAGAAGGTGTGTTTTGTTTTGACATGAATTTTTTGTTCAAATTACTGAAACGGAAGTTTATATTGATTGAAGTAGTTGATTATAGTGAACAGCGTTTTCTGATGACACGGGGAAACACATTAAAAGGGGAAATCATTGGTCGAAATGACACTTTCGAAATCACTGTCAATAGCTTTTTACAAATTTGTCTTCTCCCTTTGGAGATTGATCAAAGCGGAATTTCATTTTAATTGAATGTCTAGACTATAGGAGGTAGTTTCTTCTGATGACGTTAGAATAACACTTTACAAAGGAGGGAAACTGTCTCCGGACCACTGACAATTACTTTTAATTAACTCCCCGGCTGTTTCCTCCGTTGACGTTAAAACAGCACTTTATGAAGGTGAAAAACTATTCCTCAATCACTGGCAATTATTTCTTATGAACCTCTTTCGGAGAATAATACAAAACTGCGAGTACGCAATTTTTGCAGAAGAATTCTTTTCCGTATTTTTGAGTATTGTTTCTGTAGATGAAGATGAATTTCATCGGCACGACTCTGCGATATATGTGACGTAAGACTATGTCAGTCAATTATTTCATTACCACGTCAAATAATTTCACTGAATGTATACAATGCACTGAGAAGAAAAACATGTACAATACAAACATTTTCTCCTTTTCCGAATTTCTTTCAACCATCATGATAAAATAACTAAAAATTTTAATTCGACATTCCTAAACCGAAGAATCAATTATCCAAAAGAAATATTCTTCAGAAATCGGTTAATCAAAATCAGAGCAAATCGAAGTTTTAGAGAAAAATTTCTGTAAGAAAACATTTTCCTTTCATAAATTCCACATAATTCACCTGTCGCAGTAAAATCAATCTTTCAAAGAAAAATCCAAAATCGAACACGAAAGGCGAAAAAGAATTCTAAAGGAAAGCTTCTCGAAAGGAAAATCGAAGCGAGATAAATTTCCCTACGAGGCTGTCAAGAGAAGACAACGATCATCTAAGATTCGTTCGCCAAATCGAAAAAGTCTGCGACCAACAGCACAACCAACAGGATCCGTTAATTTCAACCCGATTCGCAGTTCCTTCAGATTTAATCAGGCCTCTCGATGCTCGCGAAGCTTAGATTCTAGCAGTCAGCTAGGCGCTATCACTCGGTTCTCGTGTTCACCGCGCTCGCTTTTTTTCTCCGCCTCCTCTCTCTCTTTCCCGCGGGCCGGAGTTGGTTGACCGGGTCGAGATAGAGTCGGCCCGCGACGATCAAGAATCCGTCCGATGGTCACGTTCCAGCCGGTCGCCGTTTCGGCTTTCAGATAATCCGAGGGCACGGCTGCACGTGCGTACGCGTCAACTTCGCAGTCGCTGGAGCGAAGGAAATCATGATCGGAAGGGCTTCCTTATCAGCGTGGCCGGCGGGACGGACGGAAATACGGGAAAACCGTTGATCGGGATCGTTTTAGAGGCTGCTTTCTGTGGTATCGCGAGGGGAGCACCATCACAGATAATCACAGATAAATCACAGATAATCACCTGTACACCGCGCAGCCCGGTTCGGTGGCCGTACACTATTTTTCGGTCACGCGAAACACTGCGATCGCGCTTCAGACAGGGGTGGGGAAGATGGATCCTCAGTTCACCTAAGTCTACGCACTGTTCCGCGGCTCCAATACGTACACGTAGATCCTACTAGGCCTGTGTTCTGGCCGAGACTAACTCGAACGCTCGGCTCCTGCAGCCCTCGCAGTCATCCCTCCAGCCACGCACTTTTCCACCCTGGCGAAAGTATTGTCGCCTGCCATTCTTTCCGTCTCCAAGCTCGCCTTTCGATGCTAGACCTTATTTCGAACGGTTCGATAGTTTAAGATGGAAGTTACGGTTGGTCGAGTCTAATGGAAAAGCGGCAGACTGGGATCAGTGGAAAGAATCAGCTGGCGGGATAAGAAGAGCGAAGATCGCGGACAAAAGTTTCGCGGGCCAGCGGCAAGGGACGTCGGCCGCGCAGACCGTACGGTGGCGCCGCGACGCGGTCAGACCGACAAACCGACCAGTG